AATTATTTCCGCGCGTCGTTTTGAATTAACCCTCTTCTTTCTTTATTTACGGATGCCGGCTCGAAGGTGAACTCTCGATTAATATTCGCCGCTGTAATTTCTGCAGTAAAAATTGCAGTTTCGCAAAACGGACGTGAAGGCGTGGAAATAAGCGGCTGACCTCTCGAACGAGGGGACTTTTTTTCTAAGCTTTAGAAAAAAGAAACGTGAAAATTTTTCATTTCAAAGTGTGTAAGTAACTTGTAAGATTCCGGGGTGTTCTCTCCTTTTTACCGCCGGTAGGGAGCTGGATTTTTATAAAGAGACCGAGCGATGCTTAAACGCGTAGCAGTTGTTAAAAAAATCAAAGTTGCAAACGTATCTGTGAAAGGCGTGCCTTCGGTTGTTTAAAAATAATTCCGTCTGTACAGACAGAAAGAGAGAGAGAGAGAGAGAGAGAGAGAGAGAGGGGGGGGGGATACCAGAATCGAGAAGGGATTCGAGTGGCTGCAGTTCGAGAGAGATAGAAGCCCTTGGCTCCACGGTCTACAGGCGGGAAGGCCGTAGATATGGAAGACTGTAGAACTTGCGCCGTACGACGATTAAATATTGATAATTGTTGGACTACTATCGTAGCTCCGAAAGTAGCACATCCTGCTTTTTGGCGTACGTATTTCCGGAAAGTTTCCGGGACGAATTTCTCGGATACCGCTTCCACCGGCTGACTCATCCACCACGTCACGCATGCGATATACGGGGTGGCCCGGCCTCGCGGCTAAATTTCTGCCCCGCGGACTCGATCCCGCGGTGTATAAGCCGATCTTTTCGAGAAGTATCCCAAAGTCCGCGTGTCTCCCCGGCTCTTCGGCGAGAAGGACACTTGAACGACCGAGCCCGACATTGAATTTTCGCCGATAAAAATCCGCAAGACGGTACCTCGCGATCCCGGCGGCGCCTCGAAATCAATCCGCCAAAGTGCTTCGGCTTTCTCTATTAGCTTTCAACGATCCATAGTTCGCTGCCTCGTGCACGGGACTCGGATTTTAAGAGAAACGCAACGCTCTCGCGACCGAAAGGCAACGAGTACGCTCGAGACACCCCGTATATGTATGTAGGCCGCACACAATGCACGCCACACGAAGCCCCCCTCTCTCTCTCT